GTGTAAATCTATTGTAGATTTTGCCTCCAATAGAAACCAAACGTCAGAGAATTTGAAAAGGAAACTAGTACATCTTAGGTCCCACTGGCTAATGGTTGATATAACATCCACAGGCATGGATAAACGTGATTACAAACTATTCGTGAACTTCTGGGAGAGAGAAGCCACTTCCAGAGCTACACTAACATGCAATCCTTTTAAGTATGTTTAACAAAGCATGACCCGGGAAATCCCAGCTACAGTGACACTGGAGGTAACATACTACTCTAGCTCTGAGAGCCATATAGCTAATTGTAGCTTCCAGTGACCTGACATGAAACATGCTGGGCTTGCATAAGCCTGCACAAGATCCCAGTGGGAGCCCCTCTCTCTTTCACTCTCAGGAAAGAATGACACAGGGAAATATACAAATAACCGATGAAGGGAAGAAAGTATGAATTAGGATGCAGTAATGCATCCTAAATTTTCAAAACTGTGTGGAAGGCAGTTCTTACAACAGCACGTTTTTTTGTGGGTTTTTTTTTGAGAGTTTTTTTTTTTTACTAGTGCGCATGCGCTCGCCAGAGAGACAGAGACAGAGAGACAGAAAGCGAGAAATCACCCCCCAAAGGGGATGGCCACGCTGCAATCCCTTCTCCTCCATTCTCCTCTGGGGATACTGGGCACGCACGCACACACGCCTGGCGTGAGTTTAAGCCACTGGGTCTGGGACTCAAACCGCAGTCAACCACGTGGGAGTCCAGCGACATAGCCATTACGCTAACGGCTGGTTTCAACATTTTTTTTTTTTTTGATAAGGGAAATAGTAATTGGGAATTGCAAACTTCTAAATGCTATCTTCAATTATGTTCCTCCTTTTCCAACTCATTTTATACATTGTTACCAAATCTTTCTACAACAGAAGAGTGTTTCTCTGCTAGTTTAAACAAAAACTTCAACAGCTTCCCACTGTCAGAGAAGTCAAAAACATACTAGCCTGAGGGCCAGCAGGTGGCATGGTAGTTAAGGTGCTGAATGCTCCCACATGGCCAACCAGGGTTTGAGTCCCAGACCTGGTGGCTTGCTTTCTCGCTTTCTCTATCTCTAGTCAAATTAGAATGAATGAATGAATGAATGAATGAATGAATAATATATCTTTAAAAAAAAAATACTAGCCTGATATTCAGTGCACTATTACTTGGTTGTAACCTACCTTCTTAACCCTATCTTGAATTATTTTCCTTACATTCTGTACCTAGGCCAGATGTTGGCAAACTATAGCCTGCAGAACAAATCCAAGCTGCTATCAATTTTTGTCTGAGAAATAGTTTTAGATTAAAACAAATTCCTTTTTGGCTAGAGAGCATGTGCACTCACCAGAGAGACAGAAATCAAGAAATCACCCTCCAGGGGAGAAAGAGAAAGGGAGAAAAGTGAGAAAACTACCCCCACAGGGAATGGTCATTCCACAATCCCTTCTCCTCTATTCCTCCCTTCTTTTGGGATTTTGGGAAGGTAGGAGCCTTGTTTTTTCAAAGCAACCTGATCCAGGACAGTGCAGTCAGTCATGTGTGATCCAACTGCCTTAACCACCACGCCACAGGCTGGCCCAGTTTTTACATTTTTTAAAAAGACTTTGCCATAGAGCATGGCACTTGCCCAAGAGACAGAGCAAGAAAGGGGGGGAGGATGGCCATGCCTCAATCCCTTCTCCATTCTCTTCTAGGTATATTGGGTACACAACACACGCACAAGGTTTTTGCTATAGGGTGCGTGTGCTCACCAGAAAGAGAAAGTGAGAAACCACCCCCACCCCAGGAAGGATGGCCACATTGTCATAGCCATTATGCCAAATGCTGGTCCCACACTAGAATGATTTTCAAGCTGCCAGTTCCAGGATTTGAACCACAGAGTCAGCCATGTGGGATCCAGTGTCTTAACCGCAATACCACCTGCTAGTTCAAGTTTTTTGTTTTTAAATGGTTGTAGAAAAATTAAAATATATTGGGACCAGCAGTTAGCGTAATGGCTATGTCACTGAACTCCATGTAGTCGACCATGGTTCGAGTCCCGGACCTGGTGGCTTAAACTAATGCCA